CCTCCACCACTGCCTCCACCACTGCCTCCACCACTGCCTCCACCACTGCCTCCACCACTGCCTCCACCACTGCCTCCACCACTGCCTCCACCACTCCCTCCACCACTGCCTCCACCACTGCCTCCACCACCCACCCACACATTTGGATAGTCTCCAACCCGGTACCGGTTATTTTACGACTGCTCAACTGTTTTACAGATGTCATTCACAGGATGCCAGACCACACACTTTGACAATCTTCAACCAGCTCGTTTAGCATAAAACACAAACATTCTATAAGGCGTCGAGTGTCTGCAATAGACAAGGATACACTTTACATGTAAGACGCACGATTGCCAGCAGTGAAAAGTCTGTTAAAAAAGAACAAGACAAAACTTTTTAAAAGTCACGTGACCGTAATCGGACAATGTGGACTCCTGCCGCGGTCCGGACCTTGCTGCTCCCATTATGTTTCTTGACGGCGGCGACGTCCGCCTACTCAAGTGGTCCGCCGGACACCGCGTGCGGTCTTATGATCCCTGGCCACGGCGGCTCGAACAGCCAGCCTTTCAACCCCTACTCCCTGACGGTGTCCAAGAGCACGTACTCTCCCTCCGAGACGATCACGGGTAAGCATACATTCTGTCGAGATGTGTTTTCTTCTTCCCCTCAGCGTGATTGCTACTCATGGTGTAGTGTTGCCTAGATGTAAGCTCACATTCAAATGGAACTTGTCTGATGACGGCAGAAGCCCCGAGTGCCGCAGCAAGTTTCAAAACAAAATAGATTTTCTGCTCGTTCTCATGGCGTTTGGGGTGGAGGATATCCCTAAAGCATATTGAGTTATCCTTTATTTACAAAAAAAAAAAAAAAAAAAACCTAAAAAAAAAAAAAAAAAAAAAAAAAAAGCTTTTAAAAATTAACTAATGGAAAAATAATTTAATTCTATAATGAGAAATGAAAGTATGTGATCAGGCTCATAAAATGCTGCTCAGATTTTTAAAAAAAATTAATTATTTCTGCGATATCAGAATTTTTTTTTTAAAGGGACGCATCAAAATCTAGTAAGTGACGTGATATGTGCGGGGAGGGGGGGGGGAGGGCATCTGTTTATGATTTGAGAGTTCACATTATGACGATTTTGTTATTAACCTTTGAATTCAGTAACCATTAACGCTCCCGGAGACAAACCGTTCAAAGGATTCATGCTACAAGCCAGAGATGTCAACGGTACAGATTTTGTCGGCACATTTCAAGCGCTCCCGGGAACCAAGTTCATATGCAATTTTGTAAGTGTCCATCAAATCCATGCCACCTACCCAATCATCCATTCATTTTTGAGATACACCCCACTGCCAATTTAAATAAGAATACACAAATCCATCAATAGCGTCCATCCATCCATCCACTCTATGTCGGATTTATAATAATTCGGATGAAGGCATCACCTGTGGCATACTCTCATCAATTAAGAACAAGTTCAACACGTCAGATTCTTAATGAAAAAAAAAATCGACTTTGTCATCTATGTCATGTTCTTTGTAAAGCAAATATATTTGCTTAAAAATGTCTCGTTCTTGGTGAAAGAGTTATATCTCGTCTAAGCCATGTCTCGTGGTGAAAGAGTTATCTTGTCTAATCCATGTCTTGTTCTTGGTAAAATAATTCCGATGCCTTATCCATGCCATGCCCTCTGTAAATTATTTTGTCGTTTCCATGTCATGTTCTTAGTGAAACAATTCCAATGGTTTATTATCCATGTCACTTTCTTGGTGAATTAATTGGTCGTATATCCAGGTCACGCTCTTGGTGAAACAATTCCAATGTCTTATCCATGTCACTTTCTTGGTGAATTAATTTGTCGTATATCCATGTCACGCTCTTGGTGAAACAATTCCAATGTCTTATCCATGTCACGTTCTTGGTGTGACAAATATATTTTCTTCTTCATTGAGTGTGTTATGATATCCTATCTGAGTTTTCCATTTGAAACGTTCTCTTTATAAAACATATTTCCAGGCTCTGACACATGAGTCTCCAAGTATCAAGGGTGCGATGACCTTTCAATGGCAAGCTCCGGATATAGCCGATAAATGGGTTCTCTTCAGGTAAACTAATGGCCAGTCTGGAGAAATCACTCTCACGAGAGGTTATAGTATGGGTCAGTAGAGATTGCGCAGTCATCAGACACTGCCAAATGATAGTTAATTACATAAACACATGAGTAGAAGGACGCCACGTTACTAGGAAACGATCATAGGAAGTTATGATTAGGGCTGTGATTAGGGTTGTCATAAGGGTTGTCATTGGGGTTTCCATTAGGGTTTTCATGAGGGTTGCCATTAGGATTGTCATTAGGGTTGCAATTAGGGTTGGGATTAGGGTTGTCATTAGGTTTGTCATTAGGGTTGTCGTTAGGGTTGTCATTAGGGTTGTCATTAGGGTTGTCATTAGGGTTGTAGTTAGGGTTGTCATTAGGGTTGCCATTAGGGTTGCCATTAGGGTTTCATTAGGTTTGTCATTAGGGTTGTCATTAGGGTTGCCATTAGGGTTGTTATTAAGGTTGCCATTAGGGTTGTTATTAGGGTTGCCATTAGGGTTGTCAATAGGGTTGTCATTAGGGTGGTCATTAGGGTTGCCATTAGGGTTGTCATTAGGGTGGTCATTAGGGTTTCTCATTTCCCTGGGTTTTGATTATTGCGGGAAAACGGGACACAATCTGTTCAAAATCATAATATTTTGAAAATATAGTTTTGATATGTTCTCATTTCCCAGAATTTGCCCGATTTAAGAGACCTTTTCTTAAACAATGTTTCGCCTTAAGGGTCACTCGGCTTCCATGTAAATGTGGCCGTGACTTGCAAACATTTGAGAAACCGTGTATTATGGCCAGAGAGCTTCTTCACTGAGCCCAGATAAATTTTACAGGTCCTGGCCTGTAGCGACATTTTGTGAAGCTCTGTGACTTGAGAATATTGAAAGAAAACAATACGATGGTATTTTTCAATGTTGTCACCGGGAGTCAGGAGGGTTTGGGGGAGGGGCGGGGCGAGGAGGATTTTCCAGGAAGTTATTTAATTACTGAGAATTACTTGACGGGATCCCGCCTGAGAGACACTGGTTCCAACACATAAGAAGTCGCCCAACACCGGATGTTGTCAAACTTAAATTTTGATTTAAAAAAAAAAAAATGTAAATCCAAGAGAACCCATCTTGACTTTCTATCATTGTGGGACACTTTGGTGAGGATGTACGGTGAACCCATATTGAATTTTTATCATTTTGGGGACATTTTGGTGAGGTGGGGCGGTGAACCCATCTTGACTTTCTATCATTGTGGGACACTTTGGTGAGGTGGGGCGGTGAACCCATCTTGACTTTCTATCATTGTGGGACACTTTGGTGAGGTGGGGCGGTGAACCCATCTTGACTTTCTATCATTGTGGGGCACTTTGGTGAGGTGGGGGTAATTTGGATTGCAACATGTTTTAATGTGTGTTTTAACTTGTGTGGTGTCATAGCTAGTGTGGTTTCATAGCTAGTGTGGTGTCATAGCTAGTGTGGTGTCATAGCTAGTGTGGTGTCATAGGTAGTGTAGTGTCATAGCTAGGGTGGTGTCATAGCTAGTGTGGTGTCATAGGTAGTGTGGTGTCATAGCTAGTGTGGTGTCATAGCTAGTGTTGTGTCATAGCTAGTGTTGTGTCATAGCTAGTATGTTATCATAGGTAGTGTGGTGTCATAGCTAGTGTTGTGTCATAGCTAGTATGTTATCATAGCTAGTGTGGTGTCATAGGTAGTGTGGTGTCATAGCTAGTGTTGTGTCATAGCTAGTATGTTATCATAGCTAGTGTGGTGTCATAGCTAGTGTTGTGTCATAGCTAGTATGTTATCATAGCTAGTGTGGTGTCATAGGTAGTGTTGTGTCATAGCTAGTGTTGTGTCATAGCTAGTATGTTATCATAGCTAGTGTGGTGTCATAGCTAGTGTTGTGTCATAGCTAGTATGTTATCATAGCTAGTGTGGTGTCATAGCTAGTATGTTATCATAGCTAGTGTGGTGTCATAGCTAGTGTTGTGTCATAGCTAGTATGTTATCATAGCTAGTGTGGTGTCATAGCTAGTATGTTATCATAGCTAGTGTGGTGTCATAGCTAGTATGTTATCATAGCTAGTGTGGTGTCATAGCTAGTATGTTATCATAGCTAGTGTGGTGTCATAGCTAGTGTGGTGTCATAGCTAGCGTGGTGTCATAGCTAGTGTTGTGTCATAGCTAGTATGTTATCATAGCTAGTGTTGTGTCATAGCTAGGGTGGTGTCATAGCTAGTGTGGTGTCATAGGTAGTGTGGTGTCATAGCTAGTGTGGTGTCATAGCTAGTGTTGTGTCATAGCTAGAGTTGTGTCATAGCTAGTATGTTATCATAGCTAGTGTGGTGTCATAGCTAGTGTGGTGTCATAGCTAGTGTAATGTCATAGCTAGTATGTTATCATAGCTAGAGTTGTGTCATAGCTAGTATGTTATCATAGCTAGTGTGGTGTCATAGCTAGTGTGGTGTCATAGCTAGTATGTTATGATAGCTAGTGTGGTGTCATAGCTAGTATGTTATCATAGCTAGTGTTGTGTCATAGCTAGTATGTTATGATAGCTAGTGTGGTGTCATAGCTAGTGTTGTGTCATAGCTAGTATGTTATGATAGCTAGTGTGGTGTCATAGCTAGTATGTTATCATAGCTAGTGTGGTGTCATAGCTAGTGTTGTGTCATAGCTAGTATGTTATCATAGCTAGTGTTGTGTCATAGCTAGTGTGGTGTCATAGCTAGTGTGGTGTCATAGCTAGTGTAATGTCTTAGCCATTTGTCCACCACGTTAAACACATCTCTGTTTCTCCCACAGGGCAACAGTCGTACAAAACTTTCAAACGTATTATCATGACTTCAGGTCAACTTATTTAGAACCTGATGTGGCAACAACACCCACGACCACAACAACCCCAACAACACCCACAACAACCACACCGACGACCACAACAACCACACCTACGACCACAACAACAACCACAACACCCACGACAACTACAACCACAACAACACCCACAACAACCACACCGACGACCACAACAACCACCCCCATGACCACAACAACCACACCCACGACCACAACAACAACCACAACACCCACGACAACTACAACCACACCTACGGCTACAACATCTACACCTTCTACCACAACAACCCCCGCGACCACAACAACAACCACAACACCCACGACAACTACAACCACACCTTCAACTACAACATCTACACCTTCTACCACAACAACCACACCCACAACAACAACCACAACACCCACGACAACTACAACCACACCTACGACCTCAACAACCACACCCATAATTACCACACCCATCACAACCACAACAACAACCACATTCCCGACCACTACAGCCGTACCCACTACCACAACAATAACATCCACGACTATAACCACACCCATTACCACAACAGCCACATCAATGACTAGTACAACCACACCCACTACCACAACCACTACAACAACGCCCACGTCCACCACGCCAACAACAACCTCAACAACACCTTTAACAGCTATAACCATTCCAGATAAAATAATGAGTATCCCTTCAGCAACTCTAACGCCTCTGTCTAACACAACTACACAAACAGAAACTTCAACCACAACAACAACATCACCTGAATCCCCTGCTATGCAAACATTAGTCCCACCCACGACATTATCAACGGAAACTACTACAACAGCACAGTTAAATCTGACTACACCATCTCAGAAGGACAGCCCTGGTGCTGACGTAATCTCTGCTGCCACAATAAACCTGGCAAGTCTTTTTACTGATATTAGTCAAGTTGAATGTCACAAAATATTTTTTTTTTATTTATACCATACATCACCACAGTGACTATTTTAACCCATAGACATTTTCAATGTTTCAACTGAATAAAGAACTCCAACCCTTCCCCACCCCCTCACCCAATAAATCAATAAATTATTTTGAACTATTTTGAAGTTTTATCCTTACGCAATTTTTTTTTTTAAATTCCCGTCTATAATAATTGCACTTTATAACTTCTTCTCATATTATTTATTAATTGAATTGTTTCCTTTCATTCTTCAACAGGTGCAGACCAATTCACATGCGAAATCTGGCCTGTACTTGCCAGTTGGTTTGATTGTGGCATGGGCCGGCGTCGTTACCATAGCATTCATTGCCAAGCGTTTGGAGGCTCTGATGAGGTGATTCGTGGCA